GGAGTATACAGATGGGGTGTGCAGTATAGGTTCGTGCCTTCTAGAGTTCACCGCTGCAGAACAACTGCAAGGTACCAACGCTTACGAATGTGAAAAGTGCTGTGTTCCACGAAACAAAAAGGTGTGTTTTGATAGTTTTTAGGCTTCTTCTAAATGGTTCAATGTTATTACATTCAGTTGAAAGCAATCGGCAGTCAGAAGAAACGCGTTTGTGCTTTGAAACGTTACCTCATATATGAGCCACCGGCTGTGCTCACACTTCATTTGAAGAGGTTTCAACAGCTAGAAGGAATGTCTGGTGAATATTTGTGTTTCTTTACTATTACTGTACTTTTCTTAGCCAGCCATTGCTATCACCATTTGCAGCAGCTGTTTTCTGACTTGCTAAGAATTTGAAACTGTTGAATCTAATAGATTTCTTCTGAAGCGAATTTTTGTGCATCGGTTCAGAAGCAGTGATAATTTGATGTTGGAAGTATAACCCCCAAGGTGGGAAATTGAGCACAAATAAAGAAGAAAAAATCGAACAAAAATGAAGTTATAAATATCAACAATTCACTTGACGTGCCGCTGATTTCGGAGTGTCCCCCAACAGGCCCACCGCGCGGCGAAGCAAGAGACGCAGATGCAGCAAAGGCCGCACGCATAGTCGGTCGGACGACAGCAACGACGCTGCTGTCGGACGACAGCAACGACCGCAGGTGTCGCATAAACCGCGGTCGCAAATGGAAGGCGACGCGGTCACCCAATGCAAACCCAGACAACACGTGACTGCGCGTGATCGTATTTCGAAAGTCCCACTGTAGTGTGGAATAGTAGCTGCGTATTGATCTGCGACACTTACGATCGTTGCTGTCGTCCGACAGCAGCGGTCGTAAGTGTCGCATGTGTCGCAGATCGATACGCACCCAATGCTGTGCGACACTTGCGATCGTTGCTGTCGTCCGACCGACTATGCGTCCGGCCAAAGAGACGAGTTGCAGCGCGTGCTGTGCGATATGAGACGTAGTATGGTACACTCTCTTTAACCTGACGCCTAACCGAGTATCATTTTGTACTCCTACTGAACTAGTATAGGTGATCATTTTGTACTCCTACTGACTAGTATAGGGCGCCATTCGTTGCGGGACCCACTGCCTTAACCCGCGGGGATCCCAAGCGATCGCGGTTGGAATTCGAACATTCCAGCTTCTCACGCATGTCAAGTGACTGCCCTCACCCCCCACCCCCCTAGACTGGCTACACTGCCCCTGGCTCACGGATTCCCCGCTCCACATTGAAGGGTTCACTGTAGCAGGAGGCAGTGGGACCCGTAACGAATGGCGCCCTTTACTAGTCAGTAGGAGTACAAAACGATGCGTCCGCCGCCACGAATATCGGAACGCATCGTTTTGTACTCCTTCTGACTAGTAAAGGACGCCATTCGTTACGGGTCCCACTGCCTCCTGCTACAGTGAACCCTTCAATGTGGAGCGGGGAATCCGTGAGCCAGGGGCAGTGTCGCCAGTCTAGGGGGGTGGGGGGTGAGGGCAGACACTTGACATGCGTGAGAAGCTGGAATGTTCGAATTCAACCGCGATCACATGGGATCCCCGCGGGTTAAGGCAGTGGGTCCCGCAACGAATGGCGCCCTATACTAGTCAGTAGGAGTACAAAATGATCACTCCCGCCTAACCATACAGTAATGCGGAACGCATCTAGTTTTGTACTCCTTCTGACTAGTAAAGGACGCCATTCGTTACGGGTCCCACTGCCTCCTGCTGACAGTGAACCTTGTCGCCAGTCTAGGGGGGTGGGGGGTGAGGGCAGACACTTGACATGCGTGAGAAGCTGGAATGTTCGAATTCAACCGCGATCACATGGGATCCCCGCGGGTTAAGGCAGTGGGTCCCGCAACGAATGGCGCCCTATACTAGTCAGTAGGAGTACAAAATGATCACTCCCAGTATGCGCTGCGACTCGTCCCTTTGCCGCGTCTGCGTCTCTTGCTTCGCCGCGCGGTGGGCCTGTTGGGGGACACCCCTGATTTCGAGGTTGGGCTGGTTTGGATTTGAGTCCAACTATGAGGTGGGAACGCCACCAGTTTGCTCGCTGCTTTAAGTAGGCTTTTTTTCTTGCTGACGCGTTCACTTTATTATCTTGAGGAATTTTCCTAGTTGAGGAACTACATCGCATTAGATTTCTACTCGTTTCTTATCGCTATTTTTGAAGGGAGGACGTCAACAAGGAAGCTCAGTGGTCATGTATCTTTCCCGATGATGTTTGACATGGCCCCGTTCTGCTGTAGAAATGTGGAGGTTTGAATTGTATTGGATTTCGATGCAATCCTGTCATCTCATTTGTCATTTCATTGCAGCGCTTGGCTCCTGGAGAAAAACGATTGCTTTACTCGTTATACGGAGTAGTTGTTCATTCTGGTAGCCTGTCTGGTGGTCATTACATTGCTTACGTTAAAAGTCGTCGTAGGTCAAAGCAGGTTAGTCTTATTCCATATGGAAGTGTTGAAACCACAAAATACAGTTTACTGTGGCTTTTGATCGATTTCTTTTCTGCTATCTGTCATTCTAGTGCCGTTTACGCTAGTGTACTTGTTTACATTTCCTCTATTTACATTTTTGTTCTAAGTGAATGTAGGTACTGCAAAAAAGTTTTCTATGATTCGCGATTTTTTTAAAGTTTACTTTTATTAGTATAGATTTTGAGACCCATGTATGTAATGCGTGATTTGAGTGGAAAGATATGGGAAATTTCCATATTGAGAAGCAACGTTTGCAATTTTTCCATAGCAAATTTTAACCGAGTTCGAATCGTTTAATTATCTTTTTTTATTTCGCTTTCTTTCTTAGCTGTTAAAAAGCAAAGTTGTTAAGGAATTCGTTCAGGCTCATGTGTTTCTGGAATTCGCACGAACTACGTGTGCTGATTCATTGTCCTATCAGAATGGAACCACTGTCGAGGATCTTTGTGGTAATTCTGATGTAGAAAATGATGGACAGTGGTACTATTGTAGTGATAGTCAAGTATTAGCTGTT